GAAAGATTTTTTAAATAAAATGCGGAAAACATACACCTTTTCTCGATACGTTACTTTTACAGATTATTAAGATATAGATTTCTATTTCTTTTGTGTAATAATAATTGAGCGAAATTTAACACTAGATATTAAATTAGTCGAATTTCGAAATGTTATTTACAAAAATGCAATACTTATAGTTTCGATAATATGGTAGTTTCCAACCTATTTCCAAATAATCAATAGTAACAGTTTTAGATATATCGGGTAGATGATTCTGAAAGTTTTGATCATTTTGAAACGTTTCTGAACGTATTAGTAAACAAACATAATTTCTTCATATACATAAAAAACTTATAAAACTGCTAAAAAGTGTATATAGACATTTTTAACGCCAAATAGCTCTTAAAGAATATCTTAATACTAAATAGTTCTAAAATTATTAACTAAATCTTTTAGGACACTAAAGCATAAAAATTTACAAAATTCTGTCTATATTAATTCCTAGGAATTTTGTAATCTTATCCATTGTTTATTTCAAAGAGGGAAAATATATCCTGGTTTATATTGCGTATAAGATTCGATATATATGGTTATATCATAGTTTAGTAATAATTTGTTTTATCGCTGTATGTTCTTCTTCTGTTATAAACTCATCTAAGTCGTTTGCAAATGATAAGAATATCAGAGGGTCAAGGACGCTACCTTGAGGAGTTCCCTGAACTGCGTTAAATATATCTCGAATAGTATTCGAATACTATTTATTACCCTAAAAGTCCGGCCTGTTAAAGGGTTTCAAGGCGCTACATATTCAGATGAATTGCTGTTTAATATTCCTCTAAGCCAAAACCACTTCTTTTACGATCGTATATACTTTACACAATGATAAAAATATTAAAGTGGTGCACGCGGGTACCGGTGGTTCTCGCATCCAATTTGAATGAAATATGTTAGATAGGACGTGCGAGCATATGTTCCTTTCACCTGCCTCCATCCACCGTTCTCTCAGCAGACAGAATAGCACCTGCCAGGTTGACTCGTGCCCGATACCACCGGTTTGTTCTGGACCCCTTTTTTATCCCCGTGCGCCCAAAGATACGCTACAATTACCATTTACACGACGACGCAACAATATCGTTATAATAATGATGATAGAGATACAGAGACCGACATAAATGCGAGGGAAATAAGTTGAGTACACCCGCTGCTTTTTGATTAACGGATTTTTTCGAGGAATAGGGGGTGGTTGGTTTGTATTCAGTGCCGAATCTCAATTGGATCGCGTTTATTACGGTTTCGTTTCCTACATTTGTAATAATATGAGTGTCTCTACAATAAATATTTATAATGACGACCATCTTTACGAATACATATCTGTGCTTTTCGCCTTATTGTCTGAAAAGTACTTTCATCTAATTTTAAATTAATTTTGTCTTAGTACATCGGTGGCAATAGTAATTCCGGAGAATTCAGCTCGGTGTTGTACACTATTCTATAAGACCACTTCTACCCAGTCAATGCTCTGGATAATTTTACTACTAAGGGAGGCTCAAGCCCTATTATGTCAAAAATGCATGTGCCCTAATGTTCAGTTGTATATCCTCCAGCAAGGTTATCAACTGATTTTTAAGAACTCTACAAAGGTACTTTGATTTAATCCAGGGATTCCCAAGCTATTTTGGGCAAGAGACCCCTTTTCCAAAATGAACTGATACTCCATAGCCAATTTACTTTAAAAATCGTATGTCTAGTTTTTTTCCTATTGATACAAAATACTTACCAATTTAAAAACTTTGCTGTTGGTTAAACCTTTTATCATTAAAATTTAATAAAATAAATAGACATTCAGTAAATATTGAGTATAATTAATAATTATTAATACAAATTACGTAAAAAGTAAGTAAAAAAAAGACAAATAACATTGCAAAGAAAAGATAAAATAATAAAAAAAATTCAGTGTTAGTTGATTTTCAAACGGTGTCTTTGTTTTGTCAAAATGTTTGTAACCACACTGAAGACTTTTTCGACTAGGTACTAGGTATGATGATGGAAAAGGAATAAGGTATTTTTTAGCAATGTTCCACAATACAGGATACTGTGTTTCAATGTTGCGCTGCAACCAGAACTTTTGATAGCCTTGGTTGAACTTTTGCTTAAGCTTCTCATCTGTGCTGATGGTGATCAATACTTCTTGTATTATCATATTGGCTTCTTCCATGGTTGTGATATTGTACGGATTTATTATCCATTGAGGAATTTGTAAATTTAAGAGATCAAGTCAAGTCACAGTCAAAATTTCTTTATTGTTGAAGAATTAATTACATTCTATTAACAAAGATAGATAACATAATAGTATAAGAAAGCTTAATAAAAGTAAAAAATTTTAATTCAAAAAAAGAAACAAACATAAATATTTCATAAATATTTTGTTTGTTTTTGGCGGGTGCATGTAGGCGAGAAGAATTAACAAAGATGTCTTTAGATCATATTGATGACAAAGGAAATATTTTATTGATAAATATCCCAGACACAAAAAATCACTCTTTCAGAAGCTTTGCGATTTCTGAGGAAGCTAAAAATGAAAAAAATTGCTTAATTTGTTCAGAAAGTATGTGAGTTTAAGAAAGCCTAAAACCCCACATAAGCGATTTTTCGTAAAATATAAGAAAGGAACTTCCACTGTACAATGTATCGAAATAAACAACTTCGTAAAAATGCCATCAGAGATTGCAAGTTATCTGAAGCTTCCACAGTTTCCGACGTTCCGCTGCCACAATGCTTGTAGATTCCGGAGAAGGAATAAATATTAAACGCCTCGGAGGTTGGAAATCTTCTAGAGTCGCAGAAGGTTATGTAGAAAGCTCACCAAGTTTCCAAAATGGCCTATCGAATAAAATATTAAACTTCAGTGACGCTGTCGCTGGACCTTCCACTATTCAGCAGCTTCCACTGTTGCAGCAATTAGTGCTGACAAAGCAGTGGAAAACAGAAATCTGACTTCATTGAAAAACATTTTATCCTCTGGAATTTGCAGAATGCTACAAATTGCACGTTCAATATTAATATTAAGAATAATTAATTTGTTGATATGTATTTAATAATAAATGTTTCTTTATGTTAACTTTTGGGTTTTCTCCGCACGCTAGTAGAAAAAAAAGTTCACCAAACACGTGCCTCTACCTTTATTTTTTCTTTAAAAACTATTTCTTTCTCTGCTGCAGTTTAAAATTTTTCATATCGCACTTTTTCTTCTATTATTGTTCCAATCATCTCCACATTTATATCTTTCTGCATTTCTTCTGATTCATCATTGCTAAATACATTGATCTTTTCTTTTTCTTCCTTTCCTTTTTCTTCTATTTCTCTCATTGATTCTTTCAATTTCTTTCCAATTTTTTTCATTAGCATCATCTTCTTTGTCTCCTCTTATACATTTCCTAATTTCTTCTTTGTCTTCTCTTCTATTTTCTTCCATTTTGTTTATTTGTTGTCTATCTTTCATCATTTCTTCCATTAACATTATTAACTTTATTACTGTGTTTTCTGACGTTTGTTCGTCCATATCACCTTGTCCTGTCTCTCCCGCTTGTTCAGATTGTCCTTCCATTATACCAACCTTATTTTCCCCTCTTAAATCCTTTTAAATTTTTTCCCTTTCTACCCCTTTCACAATTTTATATTTAAAACTTTCATTCACTACTTTTATCTACTACCATACATCAAATTTAAACATCAAAATCAACAATTAAATTGAAAGAAAATATAAAAGGTCTTATCCAAATTCAAAATCCCAATCTTCCGATTAATATTCCAAAACCTAATCCAAAAATTCCTTGCCCCACGTTGACTGGCGACACTTGATATGAAAATACCCAGTATCTAATAAATTTAAATTTTGCCCGGTACTCTTAAAATTAAAAATTAAATACCAAATTAAAGTTTAAAAAAAATTCTAGTTTCTGTTTTTACTACTGGGCTTCTTTCGGTGTCTTCCTGTACTTTCTCCTGTTATTCTTATTCCTTTTCTAGCCAATTTTTCTTTCTGCTATCTGATTCATCATTCTCTTTTACTCAAAATATTTCCAACTTTTCTATAACTGTTGTATATCCAAAATTTATGACATTCAACCATAATCCATTTGGTATTTATTAAGAAATATTTTTTTTGAGTGTAGAATAATAAAAACATCGTAGTAAAAGTCCGAATTAGTCTGTATAAGTATGTAATTGCAAACAAGATTTTATCGCAAAAACGATTTAGGTTAGTTTTACCGAAGGTGCAAATGTTATTATTTATCTACGATTGAATGTATTGTTTTGAGATTGATATATGGATGGACACAATGCTGGTTTCATGGCCGACTACGTGCTTAAGTGTTATTTAATACACAAGGTGTATTGATAGATAAATCTCGGTTATCAACCAACAAATATAAATTAAAAGATGTAGCTTAAGTGACGATCTATGTTTGAAATGTTAAACATTAAAAACAATGGCGATATAGACAGTGACGTAAGGCATTTTTATTGAATATTTTCCGTCGAATGTGATTCATTTGATGCAGGTTGGACATCATGTGGTTGGCAAATATTTTGCGTCTTTTTTCTTTTGTCCGCAATGACCGATTGCGAAGTCTTCAAGAATCTCGGATTTCTGATAAAACGTGCAAATGCCTGATGAATGACATTGCCACACACCACACAGCAATTGTTTCCAGAAATATATAAATAATTATATTAAACTTTGGACAAACTAATAGATTAATAAACATTAGATTCATGGAGCATAATTTCTGAAATTTAATTTTAAATTCGTGAAAATAAAACTAGCCATTAAAACTTCATGCTTCAGAATTATTATTTCGTCCTTTAGCTAAAGTAAAAACAGTGTTTGTAAGAAAAGTTGCATGATTGATACATGATTATCCAATATAGTTGTCTGTAACTGTACCACTGTACCTCATTTTAACTTTATTGTAATAAGTTAAAATGCGTAAAATTAATTTGGAGTTTTGTTACAGAACATCTTAGCTTAGAGATGCAGGGAACAGCTTTAATGCCGCACAACCCTCAACAAGGATATCCACCACCATCAGGACCGATTGGTAAGTATTTAATAAAGATTGACATATCACAGATTGTAATTACACATTTATATCGGTAATTTTAAAACTATACCGTATTTCAGTCGTCAATAGGATTATTTGAGCAAAATTAAATTTCAAAAGTGGGTACAAGAGACCTTATCTTAGTTGAGAATATGCGCAGAAATCAGGAAGATATATACAGGGTGTTTAAGAATGTAATGCACATGCGTTAACTGTAGGCCTGTATCATTAGATACGTTTACGTATACGTTTCTGGTATTTCTTTAACACTATTTTTTAAACGTACAGTATACAGGGTTGGCAAAACCTCTGTCGTAGTTCTATAACTCCTATTATGCAAATCTTAACGATTTATTCGAAGTATACCTGTCAATGGTGGTCAAAACCAAATATCCCAAAATTATTTTCTTGTGTACAGGGTGGCCCAATAGTAAATTAGGCAAATCACTTATTTTTTTTTTTTTTAATGGAATGACCCAACTTTTTTTCCAATTTTAGGTACTCTATGGTCACTAGTGCATACCCACAAAATATTGTTTTTAACATCCTACCCCTTTCGCAGAAAAAGAAGAAATACCAAAAAATATTACATTTTCAGACGCCTATTAAAATATGCAGTGCTCTCTCGAATTTGACGTTAGAATTTAAAAAACTACAAATGTATAAAGCCAATAGACCAAAGATTTTTTAGACCAAGTTTTAATTTTTTATTTTGTACAGGGTGTGGTCACAAATTAATTTCAATTTCCAAAAATTTCTAGGACATTTTTTTCAAATTTTTCAAATAGAACACCCTGTATTACTATTCATCGATGAAACGAGAATTTTATACCCTTCGACTTCCCCATGTACTTTCCTATACCAATATGTCGTCGTTTAAAAGTAAATTCCAAAAAGACATTGATCTATCAAAAATCCAATTTCTACCAGTGGTTTTATTGAAAGTGAACATTCAATCAAGTAGGCTGGGTCTTAATGAAGTGTCAAGTTATTTTTACTGATCGCGATAATTCTTTTATTAATAATGAATTTTACGAAAAACGAATTAATTGACATGGTCTATGTTTTGGGAGAATCCGACAGAAATTGTTTATTGGCAAAAAAAATTTATCATCAACGATATCCCGATAGACGTAACCCTGATCAAAAAAGTTTTGAAAAGTTACATAAAAGATTTACCGAAACAGGAAGTGTTGCTTATAAAAAACCAATAATTGACAAACGTGCTACTGATAATGATAACCAATTATCTGTAATTTTGACAGCGATAGAAGATCCTCATGTAAGTCAAAAAAAGATTGCCGAAGTAGTAGGTATAAGTAGAACATCCGTTAGAAGGATTTTAAAACAGCATCAATATCATCCTTATAAAATACAATTGCATCAAGAGCTAAAAAACACCGATTTTGATAATAGAATGGTGTTTTGTAACTGGGCACAAACTAAACTGCAACAAAATCCATTTTTTTTTTTTTTGATAGATTGCTGTTTTCTGATGAATCTACATTCCACAAGAACGGATTCGTTAATAGACATAATTTCCACTATTATTCCACGGAAAATCCTAACATCATCAGAACACATAGCCAAGAAAGATGGAGTGTAAATGTTTGGGGAGGTATAATTGGGGATCATGTTATTGGGCCGTATTTTTTTGAAGGCAACTTAAATGGTCTGATGTATTTAGATTTTTTAGCAAATCATCTTCCTACTTTACTTGAAAACATTTCCCTTGCTGTAAGACTAACAATGTGGTACCAACATGATGGGGCAGCAGCGCATTTTTTACGCGAAGTGGCAGATGAATTAGATGAAAAGTTTCCAAATAGATGGATTGGTAGAAATGGTCCAAAAAAATGGCCAGCTCGATCACCTGACTTAACAAAACCCGATTATTTTTTGTGGGGTTATATTAAAAATCTAGTCTATCTTACGCCACCTACAACACCTGAAAATATGAAAGAAAGGATAGTGCAAGCTTTCCATTCCATTACACCTGATATGCTTAGAAAATGGCAGACATTTTGAGCATCTTTTATAAAATGTAAATTTATGTTTTAGGATAAATTTCAAATAAATTTTATTATCGTAATTTTCTTCCTTTTGAATTTATTTTATAACGGCGACAGATAGGTATAGGAAAGTACATAGGGAAGTGGAAGGGTATGAAATTCTCCTTCAGTTGATGAATAGAAATATAGTGTAATACATTTGAAAAATTTTAAAAAATTTCCCTCGAAATTTTTGGAAAGTGAAATTAATTTGTGACCACCCTGTACAAAATAAAAAATTCAAACTTGATCCAAAAAAATCTTTGGTCTATTGGCTTTATACAATCGTAGTTTTTTAAATTCTAACATCAAATTCGAGAGAGCACTGCATATTTTAATAGGCGTCTGAAAATGTAATATTTTTTGGTAATTTTTTTTTCTGCGAAAGGGGTGGGATGTTAGAAACAATATTTTGTGGGTATGTACTAGTGACCATAGAGTAACTAAAATTGTAAAAAAAGTTGGGTCATTCCATTTAAAAAAAAAATAAGTGATTTGCCTAATTTACTATTGGGCCACCCTGTACACAAGAAAATAATTTTGGGATATTTGGTATTGGCCACCATTGACAGGTATACATCAAATAAATCGTTAAGATTTGCATAGTAGGAGTTATAGAACTACGACAGAGGTTTGGCCAACCCATGATTCGTATTCGTAATTTCGCAGTTTGTGTAGGTGATCTCCGATCCAACCATCGAGAAAGAAGAGAATCACAAACAATACACAACAACCTTTTTGTGTCTAGTCTCGACATTTCCGCGAACAAATTAATCGTGTTTACTAAAGCACGTCTTTTTCTTCGGCTCGGTCGTCACACAAAACTTAACTCACATCCGAGAGACGCGAAGATACGATCTGATAAGAGCGAGAGAAAGACAGCGAGATGAGATTTCGGGCTGTGAACGGAAAGACGAACGATGATTACATGGACCACAATGGGATATATTTGACATAAAAACCGCACGTATACAGGTTTCGCTTCCTTTAAAATAAAAAATCTTATTAATCTCGTCGTATGAGAGTCGATCTGATTTTTTGTTTTCACACGGTTAAAGAAAACGATGTGTGGTCGCCTTTTCTTGATAACGCCGATTTATTGATACCGAAAGAACAAGGTTGAAGATGTATTTATTGTAAATTTAAGGTGTTATTTCTCTTCTTGTGAGATGTGTAGTAAAATTATTAGAACTTTTATTGACAGACAATTTTTTTTATTCCATTCAAAACTGACAACTAACATTTTTAACAAAAAAAAAAAATAGAAAACAAGAAAGTATTTGGAAGAAAAAAAAAGTATTTGTTTCTATTGCCTTAAAAACATATTTTTGTGTTCTTTTAGCATATGCTAACAGGTTTTTTGCTATCTTTGAAAGTTTCAAAGCTTGTTGTACAATCGAAACTTTAATTTAAATTGATCGACGCTACGTGAAGTGGTGAAAACATAGAGTAAATAATAATATTTACTTTAAAATGATTCTTCAATTATTATAAACTAAAGCAACGAATAATTTTCATACAATTTCTTCGATAGTGGTTTGAGTTCCAAGTACAAGTCGCTGATGAATCAAAAACGAATAAACGGACTGACATGCGCAGTGATTAGTTTACGAATCCATCTATGCACGAGTCAGAGACACATTAGAATGGAGCTGTTAAAACAAACCTATTATAAACAAAAACAACGGACAATTTTCATACAATTTCGTCGATAGTGACATCTGTGAATGTCACCTGTCACTTCTAACATTTTGTTCAGTAATTATAATCGTTTTCAGCATGAGTACATTTTGTTTTAAGTTAGCTATTATGTATCCATCACCTACTTTGATTACTATACGAGGCAAGAGAGAGGTCCGACACGCCCAACGTAGGGCGCGGCCATTTTGAACCCTGTGACACAGTTTACAGCTAAAGAATCAGATCGCTCACTCTGCGTCGGCACTTTTGATCTCAATGTTTCAGTTTATACACTGTGCAACTCGGATAATACAATATATGACAACCGCCTATAATAAAACAGCAGTCTTCTGCGTATCCTGAATTTGTATCCCTGGAGTGGATGTTATTTTGGAACTTTCAACTGGTCCGAGTGAGCTAACTGATTCTTTAGCAATAAACTGTGACTGTAACCTAACCTAACCTGTCAGATTAAAACAAGAAAACCGACAATTCCGAAGCAGAAGCGGATGATTAAAACGCACCTATTAAAAATATTGCGCCAAGATGTAGGCAAAACGTAATAAGGGTTCAAAATGGCGGAGTTTTCTATCTCCTTTTAAAAGGCACTCAGAAAGCTGCGCAGTGCGACCATTCTCCGTATAGTAAAAGAAAATCAAAGTATGTGATATCCATAAAGAGTTCAGAACTTGCGTACCCATAATGAGTGTTTCATTTTAGGCATCACAGTAAATATTGGAAATAATGTATTTTCGTTTAATTTTTATGCAAAAGTTTAAAGTATATCGAAAATAAAGTAGGATACGTTACTATAAAGAATGGTTGGCAACCCTATGTAGATCATACTCTCTTGAATTTTTTTGAATGGTAACAGATCGAGTGGTATATTCGAGAAAAGCTTATTTTTTCTTTTTTCAAGAATAATAAAAAAGTACTATATTAATAATGAAAACCCTATAACATTGCAGTTCTTTTAATCTACTTTTATTTTTCACTATTCTTGGTAGATAGTTAATTCAGCGCCGTAGGTACTATAGTCTAGACAAGAAAGGAGTGCTGTAATTTAATTTGAAGAACGTTCAAGAGGTAATAATAATAATAATAATAATTTTTATTTTCCAGTAAAAAAATATGTAGTACAATAAGAAAGTTTACATTACTACAACAATCGACAAATATTAGGTTAGTGTTAGATCATTAAAACCGATTCTTCCACACCACTATTCATTAGATTAGTCTAAGCTTAATTAAAAAAAAATATGTCTG